GTCGTGCAGAATTGAAAATTCTGTCTGTGCTGAACAAGCGGGCATAGAGTTTTCAATTCGCTCGGAATTCTAATGTTTACCACCATCCATAGAGTCGTTAGTAAATATCGCCCTGTAGGCGGGATGTAGACAGATTGATCCGTTATATAATTTAATTATGAGTCACTGGCTTTCTGCAAGGGATTATTGTGTTTGCAGCGCGACGGAACCGTTATAAATAAATGAGCGAAGTTTCTCATACCATCACATTGCACACACACACACACACGCGCGCGCGCGTGACAGGCTAGCATTGTTGCCGGGGGAAATCTTTCAGCGCTCGTCGTTTACTCGCGCATGTCTGTCGTCTTGAAATATCGCTATTCCTCCTTTGTCACTTTTCTGTTACTTATAAAGGATTGAAAATACCGTTCTGTGGTCGCGCGCGCGCGCGGGCAGGCGGGCGCATCAGCGGCCGCGCTAAAGCCGAGGAAAATTTATCGCGACTACAAGTCGCCGCGATACGACCATCCCCCGCCAGTACCAAGAGTGTTACTTTATTTCACCCTCGTTGCTACCCACGTGTGTGAGTAGCCCGGCCTCGCACACGTGTGATATCCACACACGAACGTCGCGGCCACGGAGTCCCATAAATTCGGCCGCGGGATTTCGCCGGGCCCGAGGAAACGAGATCGTGGCCGCCGCCGGGTCCTTTCGCCTCGGCGGTAGCCTTAGCGAAATTATGTTATTTGATTTAGAGGACTGATAGCCGGCCGAAGAGATCGGCCTCCCCGCTTCACCGGCCGAAAGCCGATGAAGTAAATTAAGCGGACGGCGCGCGAGAGGAGAAAGAGGGCTGAGAAAGCGTTAAGCGCGGTTGTTTCGGGGAGTTCTCTCTTTCTCTTTCTGTCTCTCGCCTCCCGATAATCCTGTCGGGGAAAATGGGAAAGAAAAAGGACGAGTTTGGGACCGATAATTCGAGCACGGGAGTGAGTAGAGCTTCTGGGCTGAGCCAGCCGGCGGAGGATCCATAGGGGAAGGCATCGCCGATATCATCTTGAGAGCGTGATATCTCCTTACCGGTACCGCGCTTTTAATTGATTGCGGAGGTGGAGTCTCATTCTTTCTCCGTGTCTCTCTGCGCTGGTATTTATGTAGTAGTCGAGGAAGCTAGGTGTAGAGATTGTTTCCTCGGTTTCGAGACTTTGTAGCGGCGTACCGTATAATTTCTCCTCGTGCGCGCGCGCGAGCGCGAGTGGGCGAGCATTCTCGCGAGCGTTTTCGCGAAACTCCTCCTCCTGTTCTTCGTGACTTTTATAATTATCGAGAATCTCGTTTACACGCGCGAAACTCTTGAAGAGTTGGATAAGAGCAGAAGCGGAGAGATGGAGAAGGGGGAGACAAGGATTTGTCTTTTGCGATTTATTTTCGAAGGATAAAACTTGCCGGCCGAACTTTGGAATAACTTACGGTCGTCCTCGATAAAATATGCTTCTCGGAGATGAAATATGCGCGCGGAAGTCCTACGACTCGCCCATCCGCCGGCGGAAGAACGTCCGGAACTTTTTATTTCCTTATGAGCTCGTTACGCGGACGCGGACGCTACGGTCCTGGCAACGTCAGACGTTGTCTAACGTCAACGTCGTCCTGCCCGATCTCGTCGCGGGGAAGAACACGGCGCAAGGAGCGACATAGGGAAGAAGCGCGAGGCTCGCGCAAAAGGCGCGAGGTCATCCGTCGCGGGCTGCTCGTTTTACGGGCGTGTCAGCAATTTCACCATCGATGTGAAACCGCGAAAATGCATTCACGGCTACACGCCACAAACGCTCGTGACGTGTTTGCGACCGTCAAAGTACCGCGTTAGGAAAACGGGGTTGACGGGGTGGGCGACCCAGAGGAGCGGTCGTGGGCGCTGGCGCGGGGGGAGGGTGAGAAGAGGACGAGGGTGCGAAGGGGGAAGGGAGGTGCGGCATGATTGCCTTTGACGCGAGCAATAAAGTAACGTTGCACGCCTCGCGGCGCGGTAACCCCTTTCTGCAACTCTCGCGTCTGGATCTCGTCACTACCACCACCACCACCACCTCCACCTCCACCTCCACCGCCTTCACCTCCATCTCCACCTCCTCTTGCTCTTTCTCTTTCTCTGTGCAAGGGTGGAAACAGAGAGCTATGGTCTAACCGCGTCTGTGCACACGTTAATATAATGCACCGTACGACGTCGCGCGCGCCTTACCGTGCCGAAAACACACGCACGTACACTCTCGTTTGTATCCTCGTTCGTTCGTTCGTTCGTTCGTTCGTTCGTTCGTTCGTTCGTTCGTTCGTTCCTTCCTTCCTTCGTTCGCTCGCTCGTTTACCGTGCACAGTGCCAGCCGCGTGAGACATGGAGAAAGAAGTAGTGTCTGCCGTCCTGTCTACCCCCGAGGAGAATCCGTCGGGGTAATCCAGTGCGGTTGTAATTTTAAGACGCCTTTTGCAAACTGATAATTAGGCGGTAATCTCTTTCCGAGGCTACAACTTTGGCCACGGTCTGGTAATCGCTTAATTGTGTGCTCTGCTATTTGTAACCCGCGTTTCCGACCCTTTGCATCTTTGCAGCTCGCACACTCTCTCTCCCTCTATTACCTACCACCATCTCCACCACCACCGCCGCTACCAGTAGTACCATCGCCACCCTTTTCCTGGTAGCCGCCATTCACGTCTCTAACCTTTGTTTCCACGCCCGGCGAGACTGTAGAATCCGCGGAGTTATTGCTTCGCCGTTGCTTGAATAAATATTCCTAATTTCACATTTGTAACCGGGCGTCTTATGCAAAATGTTTCCAACTTTATGCATCCCCGGCTGAACATTAAGGATATGTAACTGTGACTCTGAATTGTTAATTCTCCGTGCCGGTGAAACGACCACAGGACGTACCCCACCCACGATCCCTCGGCCGGCCCCGTTCGCGGTAGGAGTACTTTTATCTTATGGCGTGGATTTTGCCCTCGTTCTTTTTCGCTACGAGCACGTACAAACCCGCGGAGAAGCGTAGTTACTCTACTACCCTTATATAAATGCTAATATAAATGCTGTATATCGCCTCTGGACGCGGACGATGTATCTTTGGCAAAATTACAGACGCCCGCGCCGCCGCGGCATCTCCTCGTCTCCTTGGTCGCGGAGACTCTCAATATAGAAAATTGCCCACGGAGAATTTGTTGTTCAGTCTCGATGATAAGTCGATGATACCGGGCGAAATCAAATTTTCATGCAACCTTTCCCACACGACGGACGACGTGCCTTGAAAAATGTCGCGTCGCTCCCCCATCTTACGCTCGATACGTGCCGCTTCGACGACGACGACGGAGACGGAGACGGAGACGGAGACGACGACGACGACGACGTTGATTCCGGGATGACGCTGAAAAATATGTTGACTCGTCGCAGCCATGTGGAATTTGCCCTCGCCGCCTTTGCCATCTTTTTGCTCGTTCGCTTCTGCTTGCGACACCTCTCTTCCGTAGGATCTCGTTCGGATTTCGTTTCCGAACTAGTCGCGCGCGCGCGCGCGCGGAATCTTGCCGGCGCCCATATAAATGCTAATGTTATACATCGCGGTATATACGGCCTGTCTCGAAGAAGTACTACAAATTTTGAGCCGGATGTAATCCATCTCACAATACTGCGAACAGCACCGTGTGATCTGTGAAGATTGATCGGCTCGATCTTTTCTGGGGCGACTTCCACCTGGCTTTAATTAACGAGAAAAATTGAAGAATACGATCTCGGGACTGACGCGCCGGCTCAGTTGGAAGGGAAGAAAAACGAGGGGGAATTTAGACGAACGAAAAATGGAGGAAGCACGGCCTGGCGAGAGCACGTACCGTGCGCGCGAAGGCGAGCATAGAGAAAAAAAAAATTACGTTTTTCTCGAAAAACAGATAAACGTACGTAATATGATCGAAGTTTCGCGCGAATGCGGATGCGTCGGATTTTCCACGGCACAAAGCCCGTCGCTTTTGTAAATCGTGAAAAATGGGTCGGGCGAATCTCGAGGTCATATCCTTCAACTGTATCGACAACGTACCCGCCAACGTCTGTTCCAAATGTAATTTGAAACTGAAATAGAAAAACTTTTGTTCCGGGTTATAACAGGTTATAACGGAACAATTGGTGCACTGAGCAATTAAATGCGTCCTGGCTCAAATTCATTGAACGCATTAAAGCCGGCTCATTTCAGCGACGATTAATATCCCAGTGGCAATTGCAACCTTGTGTCTTTTTCTCTTGTTTGTTATTACGACTGGACGGATTTTTCCCGCGGATTTTGGCATAAAAGCTATCGTTAGCACGATCCACTGTGTATCTGTGCGGGGTCGCACGATTGGTCAGTTTGATGCCAACCGCGTGTTGGATTTCGCGCCAAATGTGCTAGCTTAGGCAACGTGCATGCATCCATTACCGGCTAGTGCGATCCCCATCGACGAGCTAGGCTTGAAAAATGACCAGCGATAAAATTTCTCGAACGTAAATCGTCGGTGTAGAACAGGAAACGCAAAAAAAGAAAAAAAAAAGGAAGACAGTATACGTCAAGCGACCGCGGGACGTTTCGATTAAAAAGTTTGGTGAAAATCCTTCGCAAATTTTTCCCCTCAAAGTTTCTTCCTGCCAGCTTCGCTCTCTTTTTCTCTCCCCCTCCCCTCTCTCTCTCTCTCTCTCTCTCGGCGTATTTCGTATGTCGGGTAGACGAGACGTATATATCGATCTCTCTATTTTTGATTCGGTTGAAAAGACCCGTTGAGGTCGAGCTACGGATCCTCTCGTCTCGAGCGGCCTTATTCTCTCTCTCTCTCTCTCTCTCTCTCTCTCTTTCTCTCTCGCTCGCGCGCGCGCGCGACACAATGTTCCCTTCCTCCTCGGCACGTAGGAAACTAATCCCATCTCCGAAATAAACGCGCTTAAAGCTAAAGTTACGCGGATATATCAAGGCGAACGTTTCCGCTCACAATGCAAGTTGGCGTTACGCACTGTTACTTACTTGGAATATCCCAAATGCTGTGCCGAGGTGTTCATTTGTCCGCACGACCGTCGTCACGATCATTACTCTCTCCAGCTCCTTTCTCTCTCTCTCTCTCCCCCCTCTCTTTCTCCCTCTCTCCCTCTCTCTCTCTCTCTCTCTCTCTCTCTCTCTCTCTCTCTCTCTCTCTCTCTTCGCCTCTTCCTCTTTCCCTTTCTATCGTTCCCTTCACCCCCTTCTTCTTGGCACTCTCTCTCCCTTTTCCGCAGTCTCGAGTCCCGTTTTCGCCACAAACACCGTGTACTACCCGCTTTTAGCTATCGAGAGCAAAGAACCGCGTCGTACCCAGTAGGTTGGTCTACGCTAGGCATCGTCGCAACGTACACGCGTGTATAAGTGCACGCGTGCGACACACGGGGGAGAGAGAGAGCGCGCGCGCGCACACACACACACACCTACGTTCGGTTCGCCGCAAATCTCCCGCGGTCGCATCCACGGGAAAATGGTACGGCTCTTCGACCAGCGAGAGTAAACGAGCCACGGGTTCGACCCACTTTGGGAAGCGCAGTTTCACGCGCTCATCGTTCGGTGCCTCGAGTCGTTTCGACTTGCCTCCTCTCGTCAGGGTCGCTCGATCGATCGATGCCGATCTCCGTCGATCGTTGCGCTAGCGCACGTACGATCAATCAGTTAATCACACACTCCGCTACGACTTGCTCGTGGAAGTCGCGTGTGCCGGTCGTGAGGACGGTAACGACGACGGCGACGACGACGACGACGACGACGACGACGACCACAACGGCGACGACGGCGACGACGGCGACGGCGACGACGATGACGACGACGATGGTGATGACGGCGACGACGGCGACGACGAAGACGACGACGACGACGACGACGACGACAACAATGACGACGACGACGACGACGACGACGACGACGACGACGACGACGACGAAAATGATGTTTCTTTTCCGGTGTCACTGGCGCACGCGGATGTCATGTTCGATCTCGGTGCTGGCCGACAGTCAGCTAATGACGACGACGTAATGCGCGTAAAGCCCGAGACCGATCATGACAATCCCTTCTCTGCTGGCGGACTGCGCTGCTGCGTGCCGCACTCGTGCCGCGCTCGTGCTACTGATCGGGCCATCTCGAGCGGAGGGTCGAACTCGGACGAGATCGGGGACGCTGGTCGGGATACGGTAGTAGGACCATGTGCCGCGCGCGCTCTGACGCAGAGCGCGGATGCTGGACGCGCGTTCCAAAATGCGCAGACTGGCTGCACGATTTGCGTATACACGTTCCGCACGAACGAGCGAACGCGCGTGTTTCCTTGATGCGTGCGTTCTCGAAGGCACGCAAGGCACCCGACGTCGACGCGCGCGTCCCGCTTCCTCCGTCCTCCGTCGATGGCTGGAGGCCACCCGCGGTCCAGGCTGCCACGCAGTACACTGGTGCCGAGCGCCCGGGAGAAGCCGCGGGAGCCCGTGGGCGAGAACGAAGCTCTCCGAAAATCTGCGAAGATCCTCGATTCGATACACTCGGGGTCGCGCCACCAGTGTGCCGAAGGACACGATGGACCACCGGGACTACCTGTCGGGCCAACATCACCACCGCACGCGGAGATGAGACGATGAAGCGCGCTCCTTCGTCTCTCCCTTTCGGATGGACTCGTTCACTATCGCTCGCGTCGATGAAAATCGCGTGATCGTTCTTATGCCTTCCGACTCTTGCCACCCCTGTCCCCAACCCTCCCGCTGCTCCTCTCTCTCTCTCTCTCTCTCTCTCTCTCTCTCTCTCTCTCTCTCTCTTTTTCTTCCCTTGCTCTTTTCTCGCCCACTTGTTCTTCATCCCTTTCGCTCTCCCGACGAGCGCAACAGGATCGTCCGTCGCGTATATCGTATAGCGAGAATTCGCATCGACGAGACGAGCCGAAGGAGGTCGTTTTCCGAGGTTGTCCGGTTTACTATGAGGGAGAACGAGCGTGTGCCAAATTGACAATCCCTCTAAACTCGAATTCGCAGGGATTACATCGGCCGCCGCCGCCGTCGTCGTCGTCGCAACGCTACGGTCACGGGGCGTTAAGCTCGCATTGAAACAGCGGGCCATCGATTTTGGATTATGGATGTTTCATGCGGCGAGAACACCTCGCGACGGGCGCCGTCGGGAAAAAGCGCGCGCGCGCGGAAAAGGAATGCGCTGGCCGTAAATAATGAAATATTTTCATAAGCCGCTCTTAAGAGCCGCGCGCTCGCGCGCGCCGGCTGAACGTTCCGCCGTGTGCATTCGCGGCAAGTCGCGGACCTGCGTTATTGTATTTATCATACTGCACGGGTGTGCGTTGCGCTTGTGTATGCGTGTGTGTGTGTGTGTGTGTGTGTGTGATCCTTATATGCCGTATGGCGAGCGCGCGTTATCCATCCCGTTGCACACCAGATTATTCTACGTCTTCCCGATATCCTGCACTCGCTGCGTTTAGCGTCAATACCGGACTACCGCTGTCTCGCGTAAATATGATCGTGACGCGTCTCCTACGTGGTTCAATCTCCATTCTTTATGTTGCCCGCGCAAATATTATCGAGCTATTCCGTGCGCGTATTTTCTTTACATCCGCATCAAGATTGCTCTCGAGCACTCTATTGCTATCGCTTGCTTATTTCTTCTTCTTACGGTCTCACTCTCTTTCCTCTCTCCCCTTCTTCGTACTCTCCTTCCAACGATACAAAGACCAGTACGTCTACATGGAGTTGGGTTACAGTATTAGGTTCGATAGCTACGACTGTATTCGTTCACTGCGTGATTCCTTTATTTTCCAGACTTCGATCTTTCGCGTCGCGGACCGTGTCCGTCGTGGACCGAATCTTTTCGTCGGTTTTATCGATCGGCATAGCGACTTTCAGCAATTTCAACGGTAATGGAGGGAGGGAGGGAGGGAGGGAGGGAGGGTCGTTGTCACGGAATGCAATCTGGAAATATAGATTTGGGATGCTGACGCGAAGTGCGCCAAGTGCGAGCGAGTGGGGGATGAGAGAGGTGGCGAATCGGTCAGAAAATTGTACAGAAACTGTTGCGCGACAAATGTTAACAAGTTGCTTATTCCGTGCTGGCTGGATCGGATATTCAACGATGCCGGTGCATCGATCCCGTTATTCGATGTAACAAAGCCAGCTCTCGAGCCTCTTTATCATATCGCTTTATCATATCGTAGCGTTGCGAGTTAATCCTCGAGCACGTTAATCCGCAAGTCGATTTCGCAATAATTTCTTTCGTTATCCGTGAGATATAAATTTTTCGCGCTAATACCGCACGTGTCCATGGATTAATCCTTATGAATCGTACGCTGGATAATATAATCGCGGCCCGTACGTCGAATTTAACGGCGTGAGATGTAAGGGCGAGAGTTTGCTTCAATAAGAGATCCCCGGCTGGGTGGTGGTGTAATAAAATTCTTTTCGCCTACGCCCTGACAGTTTGTACTCAATAAAGAGGAATTCTTCTTGAAACCGGTGTAAATCTTCCCTGGAATTCGTTGAGCACGAAGGTATACGAGATTTGTAAGAGAGGTCGACGGGGGTTAGGTGCCCGGCGAATCCTCCCAGCTCTGATTGGATTCCCTTAGGATATTCTTTGCAGCATGGTCTTTTCTAGTCGGTCGTTTCCGTGTTCTACCAGAATCGAACGGAGCAGTCGGCTCCCCGGCTATTTTGAGCCCGCCCGATGAACCAGCCTGGACAGAGTCCGTCTTTTATCCCGCATAATGAACCTTATCCCGCGAATTCCGCGAGAATTGAATTGTTAAAGATGCCTCCTTGTGCGTCTCTCTTTTATTTCTCGCTAGGGGACTGCTTGCTTCGTTCACGGAGGGTTCCCCGAGCGTAATTGCTGAAGCGAGATAACAATTTTTTGACGGCAAGCAGAGGAACGTCAGGAGGAGAAAATATTTTCCTTTTTGTCCTGTCTCTAAAGGGGTATATTTTCAGCAGGAAAAATATTTATAAAGAAAACGCATGGCAAACGGAGAGACTCGTGAATTTCATAAGGAGCCGGAAGTAGTCAAGGATTCAGGATAACATTTTTAACCGATGTATCTTTGGCGTCGCTGCCGCTCGGAAGGCCGCGGTATTGATCGAGGGATCCAAATTTCTTGGAAGACGCAATCCCCCGCCATCCCCCGCGCATCTCTGACCGCATTTACCCGCGGAAGGGTCGATCTCGTACGAAAGGGAGAGTGAAAGAAGAAGGAGGGAAGAAGCGATCGCGCGGTGGTGTTTATCGCGCGACGTGGACGATGTGAATACTTTTTGCGAATCGAACAGTTTTGAATCGCCGATGCGAGCCGAATTAGCCCGAGCGTCCTCGAGCCTGCCACACGATCGATTCGAAATAAAGCAGAGGTTTCGCACTGTCGACCTTCCGCCACCTATTCCCCCCTCGTCACCATCTCCCCTCGTCATCCTCCCTCCTCCCTCCCCCTCCTCCCGCCCACCCTCTCTCCCTCTTCCGCTCTCACCCGTCTAAAAGATCCGCAGCTTCCTCCCGTGAGATTGCTGCATCGTCCCATATTTAATCAAGAGCTTCGCACCAGGCCGATGCAAAGTCTCGACTCGCGTCTCTAATTTGAAGCTGACATTACGCGTGAACTGCTGTGGGATTTCCGAAATTAGTCACCAGAGAACTGGAACGGTGCAAATTCGAGCAGGAAATTATGCGCGAGTAGAGTTTTCGCTTTGCGGATTGTCCGCTTGTTAGTTTCTGCCGGGCGGTTACCAAGACTCGACGCCGGGGAGAATTATCGGTCCTTAGACTTTCGTAAGGTCTCGTAAGCTTTTTTTCTTTGTCCTTTCTCTCCCGGTGAAATCGTGTAGGAACTGTCTCTGGTTACAAGGGGATTGAATTCGATTTTTCTCCTTTTTTCTTCTTTCTTTTCTTCTTTTTTTTTTTCCTTTTTCTTATCGCCCCCCACGCTCGCGCATTTCACACACGACTGGCTTTTAGCGACTTCCCAATTGTCGGGGAGGGGAGGGGGGGAGTAAGGGGGGATTCATGTGGAGATCTCGTCGACCTACCTCTCGGCGCGATCGACACAGGACCGCGCTTGTTTCCCGCCTCTTTTTTTACATTTTCTTACAATTGTCGA